CGTTCCATAATAAATCAAATGAATTGCTCTGAGGAACAGAACCTTGATTTTTGAAATAAATTTGCACAATTTGGAAGCGTTGTTCAGGCGTCAATCTATTCATTCATGTTGAAATGCCGAACCAAAAAAAAAATCTGTTTAAAATCTGTTTTTCCGTTAATCCGCTGTCGCCCCCATACAAACGACAACTCTTTGAGAAACTTGTGCGAGTTAAGGACTAATGAGGTCCTTACCTTTTAACGTGTGATACCTAACACGATTCTTGAACATACATTTCTTAACATCTGACAAAATGGCCGCCAATTGAAAAAGTGTTGCCAACTTGAAGTTCTATACCTCTATAAAAAAACACCCTTTATTACTCATCAGCAAATCTATTTTTCAGCAACAAAATTTCTCACAATATAGGTATAGAATGTCATCCATCAGATAGATATGATAAGAATTCCAAAACATTAACTATCAAAGCCTATAATACGTAGAATGAGTTATGAGAAAGTTTATAAAAAGACAATCAAACACTGATGAAACAATTAATTTTCTTACTACCTTATTTCAATAATTTCAACGAAAATAATAACGATCGCAGCACACATAATTCATGAAGGATTATTTGGAAAATATCAATCAGTCAGCAGAATGTTTCACAATGTGCTTGTGGCTTCAAGCAGGACCGGATTTGAAAGTCTGGAGGCCCTGGAGCAACGAAGGAGTGGAGGCGTTTTAAAACATTTTTTTTAAGTTGAATTTTCAACTTCCTGCCAAAATTGAAAATTTTCAAAAAACGGAAAGCGCAGATCCAAAAGGTAGTGTCATTCAAACATTTCCATTCAAATGATTTCGTCAAATAATTTTGAGCTCAAAGAAGCGAAAAGTTGTAAGGATGACCTGCAGGGCCAATTGTTTTTCAGATTTAGTTTCACTTAATTTATTTCTCTTTAACTCATGGTTAACACATGAAAAAAGTATTGCCACTGAAATGCTTGATCAAATCAAAATTTAATAAATTGATGAATGTAGCCGTTACTATGTAGGAAATGATTATGAATAAAAAAGAATTGAAACTTTCTATGTTTTTTACTACTTTTATTATTTGTAACTAACGTTACTGCAGTTCAACGTATAAGTTTGAAAATGTCCTAATAGGATGAAACTGCAGTAACGTTAGTTACAAATAAAAGTGGTAAAAACATAGAAAGTTTCAATTCTCTTTTCTTCACAAAAATTGATAATAACTGGAAACTTGCAATCAGGGCTTTCTGATATATCCATAGCAATATTATCATGTTCGTGGAAGTATTCTCAGCAAAAATGCAAAAAAAAATGTTCAGGATAAAAAACCTAGCCCCGCCTACCCTCCCCTAAATCCGGCCCTGACTTCAAATAGTGATTTTTTTTGTCCCAAAAATACAGGAGTGATAAAACAGCTTCAATCAAAAATATTTGAAAAGTCTCAATGCACAGGAAGTACAATGTTACTATTGAATACCGCCAAAAGTTAGTTCATGTTTGATTACCATGGCTTCAAGTCCAACATCATACAGAGCAAGTTAAACAATATGAAATATGTTCGTTCGTTATTTCGAAAAATAAAAACAGATTATTTTTCATAGAAGTTGTTCAGAAGTGAAAGTTACACACTGATTCAAAGTCACGGCCCCCTATTTGAATTGTTATTTGCTATTTATTCGAGTTACTTCTATATAATTAATTTTTACTGAATTACTACATATACGAAGAACCCAGAGTCAAATTACTATGATATAATTTATTTCGAATGGAATTGTGTTATTAGAATTCACTTTTTTGTTGTAGTAATTTCTAACAGCATTCAAAAATTTCGCAACTATGTAACAAAAGGCATAGACATTACTTGTGATGATGTGTATATAGAAATCGTACTCCAAATCATTATGATCATGAAGGATACAGAAAACAACTTTTGTCCAATTTCTACTACGATTTTCATTTGCTACGACTGGTTTCAAGTAAACCTGAAAACGCTTCAATAAACCGAAACCCGTCGTAACCTGTATTCAATAAACAGTTTACTCGTAAGTTCATTTGAGTTTACTTGAAAATAGTTTAATAAACCGAAACCGGTCGTAACAAATGAAAATCATAGTTAAAATTGGACAAAAGTTGTTTCTTCTATTCTATATTCAATATGGATTTCTATAATATATGTAGGTCATCATTCGAACATAATGAACATGCTTCGAATAAATAAACTTTATCAAAATATATCGAATTCATTACAAATAACCATTGGGAAAAATTAACGATTGAAAAATCAATACTTAAACAGTATAACTTTTCATAACATAGTTACAATTTTGCGGTTTGTCGCAATAATAATCAGTGGTTTGTAATAAATATGCGACGCCCACATGCGATGGGTCAAAAATAGGGTATCGCTATACGCATACATCCAACAGAACAATAGGCTTATGACCATAGTGGTTTAGGACAAATGGGTGGTTCAGCCTAGCACCACTGATGATACCTTGGCGAGTCGAAACAGTGCTGTATAGTAGTCCATATAGTTGCGTTGCAGGGAAAGCTGCACTGAAAGACAGAGGACGAATCTCGTTTGGCCGTTAAGGTCGAAGCTTGGGTTTGCAACTGACTTCCTTAGGGAAACTTGTTCAACTTTGATATTCAATGATTGAGCCGTTTGTCTAACCCATAGAATGCGTCTACTAGTGGTTGATGATTTTTGTTATGAACAAATGGATACTTGAATACTGGGACATGACATGAACATGCATAATCTTACATTACTGTAAGTCAGCAGTACAGATAAACTCCCTTTCTACAATCGTCTTCCTAACTGCCCTTCAAAAGATTCAAATAGGATCAGGAATGTAATTAATGCAATTTTCTACACTATTTGCTAAGAAATAACGAAAAAAGTAATCAATCATTTAATTGAAATGTTTACCTGATTTCAGTTCTCTAACGAGTTTGTTCATTTTACAAAAAATCATCAGGTACGGAGAACGTGTATCTTCCAGAGGTAAAAGTTCGTGGAAATATAACTCACCATCAAAATTTGATATCATTTTCTAGAATTTATTTTGAAAGTGAATCTGGAATAAATCAATACAATTGCAATGTATCATCCCGTGTGTTTGTAGTTGAGACAAGATATTGTTGATTAGAAGTTATATAGTATTTGGGACCTGTATTTGTATGTTCAGTAATTACGTCAGAAAAAAATTGAAAAAACGTTAAGGTACTCTATGTAAATTGAGACAGTTGGTATAGTGAAAAACGTTTAAATATAATTATTGTTTCTCAACCTCATTCGGCTCTCAGCTAAGGAAACTTCCACAGCCGATTCAAGGATTGTTTTCGTATTCGTCACACTTCACACCCAAAACGTAGAATTAATCTTTCAGTCTGACATTTACCAAAAATATATAAAGCTCACGATATTTACATTCCTGAATCTGATTCCATAAAAATGTGAAAACATTTAAAAATCGTGTAATACAGGATATAAAAATCCTCTATACTATACTAATATTTGAGTTGACATAGAAATATTAAATTTTTATCTAAGATTGTAAATAAACATTTATTCTGCGGTTGTCTACGGAACCTGAAAATAACATAAAATATTCCATATTCACTTTTAGTTTTATTTGCAAGAATACGAAATACAAATATGGGTTGTTGAGTTGAGGAGATGAACGAACTATTCGAAACATTATTTCATTGTTCATATACTATAGTGTTCAAGTGACAATGGAAGTCGTTCAGAATAGGTACAGTTTTTTTTAATATGACCTATCCAGGTTTTGATATCAGTATCATATATCACGATCTCCGATCTCCATTGAGTAGCAGATAAAGGTAAGTCTTAGATTTTTGTGTTTATTTCTAGACATTCCTAGTTCTCACCGACAATTCCAATACGAATATTATGGAAAATCGACAGAATAAAAGAAATTCTAATCGATGTCGATCAATAATTAAACAACAATAAATTGATGGATGTAACCGTTACTAGGTGTAGAAGATCATCAAGAAAAATGAAAATTAAAACTTTCTATGTTTTTATACCACTTATATTTGTAAATAACGTTACTGCAGTTTCGTCCTACATTTTCAAACGATTTCAGTTTATTGAATTGGTTAGCAAATGTCCCTGTAGGTTAAAATTGCAGTAACGTTAGGTACAAATACAAGTGTTATCCAAAATATAGAAAATTTTAATCCTGACTTTTCATGACTCAAACAACACTTTCCATGAAACGATACTTAGGAATTACAATTCAGAACTAATTATATCGCATACATTGGTAACTATTTTTTTAAGTACCGTCAATTATTACTAGATATGTATTATATTTCTGCTAAGTACGGTGGATTATATGTCAATTATTAGTACACCAGCTGTTGAATAATTTTTGATCCTCAACGTTTCAGGATGAACTGGTTGTTGTCTCTCCACTACCAATGTCAGTTTCAGACAGTTAGGAAACTCCGAAAAGAACTAAAGAAATATCAGAAAAAAAATTAGCAAATTGATTGGAAATGATTGCTTCAGAAAACATTTACCTGTGTATCAACTTAACCTGTATTCGTTCATATTATATTAGGTAAAAAAATATTTACAAACATAATGAGTAATCTCAGGTGTTTTCTACATTGTAAAGAAAAAAACACTTTATTGTGGCAACAAACTGATATGTTCCACCTACAAGCAGAAAAAGAGATAATCAAACTCTTGATGACTTTTTCATCAAAATCGAATATCTATCAATTTAAAAGCATTATCAGCTACACTGGAACTCTTCAAACCATTATTCATCAGTAACGATAAGATTTCAATCAGATATTCCAGTTTTGACAATCAGAGCTCTTGAAACTCTTCATGTGATGTCTATATTTTTGAACGAATATCAAGTTGCGCTAATCATTTTTAGCAATTACTGAGATAGCTACGCCACTGACTGTATATTTTTTATATTATACAATTGCAAATATAAGAGCGCAAAGTATTACGATCCCTTCATTTAGTGTATCAGATATCATAACTAGCTGAAAAATGAAATGTTTATTTTTTTTTGTTTTTCTAGGAGTTCTTATTTTTACGGTTTCGACTGAAAAATATACAACGAAATATGATAACGTCAACGTGGACGAAATTTTAAAAAGTGATAGGCTTCTGAAAAATTATATGGATTGTCTTATGGACAGAGGACCTTGTACAACAGAAGGCAAAGAACTGAAAGGTGGGTCAATTATTCGATTGTTATAATATTTATACATATTATAGGAAACTGCCCTGATCAAACTTGATCAGTTTCTTATTCTGATTTCTTATGAAATCATAACACTAGTCTACAGTTATTCTTATGAGATGCAATGCAACTATTGAGAGGTCTGAAAGTTTTTCCTACATATATTTAAAGACAATACACGAAATTATGTATACTAAAAATGATTTTTGTTTATTCATTAATGGGGTTAGTATAGTTGAAATGTTAATTACAACTTTAATTACTTAAGGTATTTTTTCGTGAATGTGGTATAGACTATTATATCGATGGAGATATTCTATTGAATTATTTTCTTCAAGCATAAACTTCAAGCTTAGGTTTATGCGACACGTGTTTTGCTATACAATAGCTTCTTCAAGCATAAACTTCAAGCTTAGGTTTATGCTTTTTGTAAAACCCTTATAGTGAAAATCAGTCAATAAACTGTATTGATGATATTTATATTAATTCTTTTGGAATGATAGAAATGAAAGTTTTTGAATCTACTACTGAATATAGGTTTTCTGTACACATTCTGATGCGTCTCATCAATTTTATATCTGTTTAAAAAAAATCTGTTTTTCCGTTAACCAGCTGTCGCACCTCTACGAACGACAACCCTCAGAAGTCGAAACTTGTGAGAGCTAAGGATTAAAGAGGTCTTACCTTAACGTGTGATTCCTCACACGAGTTGGACGATAGCAAGTGAAAATCGATCGTTCAGACTAGGGCTTGAACCACCGATCAACACGGCAGTCAATTCGAGTGAGTGAACAAAACACCCACGTCGAACCTCCTGGCTACCGACCGACCATATCTACAAAAAGTAATTCAGTTATGGTTTTTTTCTTGATGGTAAATGGAATGTTTTGGTCGTAAGAATTGAATACATTCAAAATCTCTTCTTTGCTATCTGAATTTCACAACTTGTCGTTGACATCATTTTCAGTACTTCAAAGAAATGTATGTTTCTCTGTTCGTTTCCAAATCATTTTCACAATAATCTCAAGTTAGTAAGGTTTATGTCATCCACATATTATAATTATCCAGACGAAGGTAACTGAGATACTGAAAGCTTGATAAATATCAAAGAGTATACTCAACGGCTTGTGTTGTTGACATATTTCTCAACAGCTGTCATCGGTTATCACAAACGTATTATACAAAAAAAAAAATAGCGGGTAGGAGAATTTCTATTTCGGAAAGGATGCTCTTTGGTGTATGACTTTCCGATGCAATTTCTGATTTTCGATGAAACAATAATTTAAGGAGACATTCTTCAGTTAACTGGTTATCTCTGGGATATAAGTTTCAAGTTTATTTTCAGAGTGATCTATCTGAAAGTAATATTTTCCGTTTCTTGCTTGATTAACAAATTCGGGTTGTTGAACAAACGTTCAAAAATCCGACCATTATTGTCTATTTATATAATTGGTTCTTATTTTATATTTGAAGTTGAATCAGGTTTGATCTGAGGTGGAGCCCAAATATTAGTTGGCTAGGAGTTCTATTTGTCGATATTCTCTTAGTGTTTTTGGTGTTTCAATAGAAATTGCGTGGCTGATTCGATGTAAGATCTGCAGGACACATCGTTTCCCTAAATGTTCAAACAGTTGTTTAAACAAGGCCACTCGATTTTGGATTTGTATGATGTATTCTCAATAAAAGTCTTCATATTCGCCAAGAGTTTATTATGTATCATTGCCAGTGACTGAAAAATTCGGTAATCCAAATGTTACGAATATCATGCGAAGAGCTCCAATCGTTGATCTGAACATACATGTTATCTTTCATTGGTTCTAGTTCGACCCAATGGGTATAAGAATCAATGGCCAATGTCTACACTCTCCTACCAAAGAAAGATATGGATGCAAGTTGGAAAATGATTCTGGTGATATAGCTCAAAAATGTTACTCTGTACTTTTCTCATTGTTTGCTTTCTTGGCATGAACAGCATTTTTCGATTTCTTGGACGATATTTTTTATTTCCGGTACAAATTTTCTCGGGTATTGAGTTGTTCCAATTGGCGTACTATTGCACCAGGTGGTAGGAGTAATTTGAACGCCAAGTACCAATCAAACTGAAAATAGGGGAATATCATCATATTCTGTCACAATAAACGTGAATACAACCTAGTTTCAAGTACCCTAATACTGACTTAGCATTTTTCTTTAGTATGCATTTTGATGTGCCTTATTATTTGAAAGAGCGCGAGGACTGTCCAGTCATGATACAGACTCGGTTTTCTTATCCAAATTGGTGCTGAAGGAGAAATAAGACATATTATTATGTCCGAAACATCCGATGTCCGCCATTGAGTTTGTGTCTGAAAATTACTTATTTACATGATCTTTGTGAAGTTACCTAATTGTTGTTACTATTGCTGTGATAAGTTGAAGAAGAAAACACAGAATGATAATTTCTCGGTTTTATTTACTTGCAAGGTAAAACTTAACACATTTTTTCCATACGCAGGGTTGTTGTTTTTGGCGAAGTTTTGAGCCACCACCAAAGAGGCATTCAAAGTCCGAAAGTAATAAATGTACTGCTAATTTCTTATTTTAAGTTATTAAACTTTTTCGGCGTTTTATCGGCGATGTGAATAGTTGTGTACTGTTATAGCTGGCGCACACTGCGACAGGACGCCACAGCACGGGAACATGCCGGGACGGGAACATGACGTGAAGTTTCGTTTCTCTTTCTATAATTTCTCATGACAAGACGCACACTAAAGCAGACAATGGACAGGCACATGTCAGCACAGGAACAGGACGCGCCTCTCCCATGAGAAACCATAGAAAGAGAAACGAAATTTCACGTCATGTTCCCGTCCCAGCCCGTTCTATCCTGTTGCAGTGTGCATGGAACTTCAGCCGTTTGATTCAAATAGAAGCGTATTCTACATAGTTCAATTGGTGGAAAATTTTTATAATATTTTTTCCTACCATTCATGATTGTGTATCATTATGGGAATTTGATCGGAGTCAGGAGTTGTCGTTAAGTTTTGACAGACTTTCAATTTGATTTCCTTGTCAGCAAAAATGAATGAAAATATTTCTAATATGGGTAGTTCTAGGTTGTTTTCGATTGAAAAAGTTTTTCTAAGATCGAACTCATTTTGGGATTTATAAATAATATAGAACATGTGTTCTATGACAGATTCAGGATCAAAAGGAAGAGGTATGATGTAGTATTTACGATCTTTCACTGATTTGCTAGAAAGTATGTTGATTCTATCATTGTAAAACTCTGGGTGTTCTTCGAAGAGGTCTTCGATGATTTCATAGTGTAATGGTTCTAGTTTGTTTTCCAAAAGAAACTAACAATGTTTTTATGATGTTTATCAAGGAGTTGGGAATTATCGAACTCTATCTTAGAATAATCGATTAGAGATTTTGATTTATATAAATTAACAAATGTATTGAATTCTTCTTGAATGGTTTCTACGGGTATTTCGTTTTCAGGGGTGTCGTTTCCTTCGGGGTTATTTCTCTCTTCAGGGTTGTTTTCGTTAGGGTTGTCATTTATTTCGGGGTCCGCTTTTACTTCGGTTTCGTTCTCGTTAAATGCGTGTATAGAAATTTTGTGTTGGAAATTCGCGCATTCTTCGAAGTAGTTGACTTTGATTCGGGATAGTGCATCTGCATTTTTGTTGATTTTGCCGGGTTTGTATTCTATCTGGTAATCATACTCTTCGAGTTTGAGTCGAAAGCGTGCAAGACTACTACCAGGGTCTCTTATTGAAAAAAACCAGGTGAGGGGTCTATGATCAGTAATTAATCGGAATTTTCGTCCGAAAAGATATGGGCGAAAATGCTTCACTGCCCAAACGAGGGCAAGAAGTTCTCTTTTTATTGTAGAGTACTTCGATTCTGCGCTACAAAGTGTTTTAGACGCATATGCTATTGGGAGATCTTTGCCAATGGGACCTTGCGATAAAATAGCACCAATTGCAAACGCACTGGTGTCAGTTGTGAGCAAAAATGGTTTCTCAAAATTAGGGTGAATAAGAATGGGGCTTGTTATGAGTGCATTTTTGAGTTGTTCGAATGCTTGTCTGTATTCTGCGTCTAAGTTAAAGGGGGTATCTTTTTGTAGTAATTTGGCCAATGGTTTCGAAATTTTGGCGAAATTGCAAATGAATCGTCGATAGTATCCAGCTAAACCTAGAAATGATTTCATTTCTGTTTGGGTTTTTGGTTCGAGGAAATTTTGGATACATTCAATTTTCGTTGGATTGGGTTTGACTCCGTTTTGGGTAATGACATGTCTAAGATAGGCGACTTCTTTTCTCAAGAATTCACACTTTTCCGGTTGGATTTTCAGGTTCGCTTTTCGAAGTCTTTTAAATACTTCGGTCAACCTTGCTATGTGCTCATGGATGGTAGGAGGATATACGATGATGTCATCCATGTATATGTTCTGTATACCTAGAAGAACACTATCCATAACTCTCTGGAACGTGCTTGGATCATTCTTCAAGCCAAATGGCATACGAACAAATTCGTAGTGACCATTGTCTAAGCCGTTTTGGGAATATCTTTGGGTTCGATTTCAATTTGATGAAATCCGGAGGCGAGATCAAGCGTGGTGAAATATTCACATTTACCAAGCTGATCTAGGAGGTCAGAGATGTTGGGTAATGGGTATTTGTCAGTACTTGAAAGAAATGTATGTTTCTCTGTTCGTTTCCAAATCATTTCCACAATAATCCCAAGTTAGTAAGGATTATGTCATCCACATATTATAATTATCTTGACGAAGGTAACTAAGATACTAAAAGCTAGATAAATATCAACGGCTGTTGTTGACATATGTATCTCTCAACAGCTGTCATCGGTTATCACAAACGTATTATACAAAAAAATAGGTTATTGCTAGTCCAGATAGCGGGTAGAACAATTCCTATTTCAAGGACAGGCTCATGCCAGCACAGGAACAGGACGCGCCTCTCCCATAAGAAACCATAGAAAGAAAAACAAAATTTCACGTCATGTTCCCGTCCCAGCCCGTTCTATCCTGTTGCAGTGTGCATGGAACTTCAGCCGTTTGATTCAAATAGAAGCGTATTCTACATAGTTCAATTGGTGGAAAATTTTTATAATATTTTTTCCTACCATTCATGATTGTGCGCAATCTCACGCTGAACCTCAAAGTAGTTAACATTTTTATTTTCCTTTCTATACATCCCACACAGTTTCTTATTTTGGCGAAAATTATACTGTCTTGCCGTAGAACTCGTTGAGTTCACTAATGAGTTTCGGTTGGGTGTTCTTTGGCAACTTTTGTACCTTGAAATGATTCATGAAAATTTCAAAGCCTTGTTGAGCTACTTCATGCAGTAAAACATTATTTCGACTATATCGTCCTCAGTTGTCCTTAAACCGTCTAATTCAAACCTTCGTCGATGGTAGTCCCATTGTTCGATGCCAGGTTCAATATGAAGTGTCCCATATTGTTTACTCACCAAAATATTCCGGAAGAAGATAAGCCCAGTGACAGATGTCTTGATATATGGATTATATAAACGATCAGTTTCGTTTCTGACATGGTGGTGAACGGACGTGCCGATAGCGACCGTTCACAAAGAAGATACGCGGACATCATTGTTGGAGGTGGAACTCAGTTCGTGTTGTGTATGTCCGCCGTTATATAACGTGCAAGCAAAAGTTACAAAAGTTATAGTAAACATTGTTTTAGTGGTTTTAATTAAATAGTGCTCCCATTCACGCCGGTTGGAGGCCGGGGTGGACCGGATGTCCACGTGGGAGTGCTAAAGTGGAAGTGAAGTTTAAGGACCCCTTTATTCACGCCGGTATCCAGGCCGGGGTGGTTCGGATAACCACGTAAAGGGGTCATATATGTGAATTCAAAAATCAGAAGGTCTCCCGAGAAGGAGGCGACCCAATAAATATATACGTAGTAAATCAAAATGTCTCCTGATTAGAAGGCGACATTTAAAAAACACATTGTTTTTTTTTATTGTAAAAAGTGTGACAAAAAAGGGGTGGCAGCATTGCTTCGAGCAAGACAGCTGCGCCCCTCCCGACGAAGCTTCTGTCAAATT